ATAGGGTTCATCCTTTGGTGATCACGAACACTCATGCCAAGTTTCATTAAAATCCGTCAAGAATTGTCCCTTCTAGAGTGTTTACGAGCTAAAAATTGAACGCGTTTTCAAGAATACGGGCAATAACTCATACTAAATATCAGTCATGAACCTTTGAAAATACTAACAGTTTAAAACCGGAAGTTGACGTTGAACATCAAATATGAAGGTATTAATCTTTAGCCAAAGTCAATGACCTTCAATCCTACAAAGGTCAAGGTCATCAAAGTTAAAGGTCAAAAATTGAAAAAAACTTTAAACCCTGTTCCTTTTTTTTAACACAAACTGGCCAAGAGGGTGAGGTAATCGTATGCAAGGTAATTTAACCTTAAGGTGCCACACCCACCTCAACTTTTTTGTCATAAGTTAATTCCTATTTAAAATGTCTCGTTGTGTTCCGAATTCCAAGCTTCTACACCAATTAGGTCGTAAGATATGCGAAAATATTGTAAAAAACACTGAAATTTCAAAAAATTGGAAAGAGCACCATGAACACATTCACAATCCACAAAAATTAACCCTCTGAGTTAATTAGGTCACGATCTAGAGCAGTCCAATGTTGCGAATTTGGCTGTTTTTGGACATGTATAAAACCGGACATAGACTTCTGAGGTCAAATATGAAAGCCTGATAGCCAAGGTCGATGACCTTTGACCCATTAAAGGTCAAGGATATCATAGGTCAAGGTCAAAAATTGAAAATATTGAATTTCCAAAACCTGTTACTTTTTTTGAATAATGAAGCTGAAACAACAGAACTTCTAAAACAAAGTGGCTCAAAGGATGAGGTAATTGTATGCAAAGTTTCATTTTAAACAAATGTATTCTTTGCGAGTTACGCCCCTGGCCAAAAATGTCAATAATGATAATATAACCCGGATGTGCCACGCCCACCTCACTTTTTTGGCATAAGTTAACTAATATTCTAGATGTTAATGTTGTGTTCCAAATTTTAAGTTTCTACATCATACTAGTTAAAAGATATAGGTCAACAAAAGTCAACAAAGGTCAAAATCGAAAATTAAAATTATGGAAGTTTTAAACCCGCTCCTTTTTGGAACTATGACACTGAAACAACTGAGCTGTTAACACAAACTGGCTAAAAGGACGAGGTAATTGTGTCCAAAGTCCCTTTTTGTCTATCTATTCAACCCGAATGTGGCACGCCCACCTCAACTTTTTGTCAATGGTGAATTCATATTTACAATGTCTAGTTGTCTTCAAAATTTCTAGGTTCTACATCAAATAGGTCAAAATATATACACATACACCAAGCTCATAGAAATGAAATGAAATGAATGGAGTTTTACGTCCTACTCTTCTGCACCTTGTGGGCTAATGAAGACGGGCAACGCCATGCAGGGTGCCATGAGGGAAATTTTGCCAGGACAGCGGCATTAGCCTGCTCTTTTTCGATTTCCAACTGTCGAGGGATCTTTAACGTGCACAGCCTGTAGCACACGGGGCCTCGGTTTATTGTCCCATCCGAACGACTAGACGCTTTTTCCATGTCAACCCCTCTTACCTGCATCACTGACAGGGGGAAACCGGGTTGAAAAATCCGAAGGTATTATCTCGACCTATGCCGGGATTGAACCCTGGACCTTCAGGTTAGCGAGCAAGCGTCTAACTCACTGAGCCACCGCGGCTCCCACCAAGCTCATGGAGACAAATAATTATATTGTAAAAAAACACTCAAATTTGATAAAATCACAAATTTCAATTTTGCTTTAAAAAGAATTGTAATATATCATTGGAAAGAGCATGAAAAGCACATAAAGATTAACTCTCCCGGTTAATTAGGTCACTTGCTACAGAAATCCAAAGTTGAAAATAAGGTCATCAAAGGTCGAGGTCACGAAATATGAAACCTTCAACTCTACTAGAGGCTTCTTATTTTTTTATTTTCTTTCAATTGACACTAAAATCATCTAAATTGGATAAACCGTTCTCTCTGAATAGATTTTGACGCATTTCAGGAAAATCAAAATGGCGGCCAAAGTATCACTTTCAGAATGGATTTTAATTTAAAATCGGCTGTAGAATAACAATGACTACCCATGAGCAAAATTTTGTTGACATTTATTTCTAACACTGGAAGTTATTCAACTGGAAGTCAAAATCGAGTTTCCGTTTAAACTGGAAGAACCTTTTTTGTTTATATTCTAGACCTGTCTTTGCATAAAAAAATCAGGTTAATCCGGTTAAGTAGACGTCAGACATTAGATATGAAGGTATCAGCGAATAGCGAAAGTCAACGAGGGTCATCAAAGGTCAAGGTCACAAGATATCACTCATCAAACTTTCAAAATACATTTGGCTACAAAACTGGACACTTACGTCGGACATCAAATATGAAAGTATACACAGATAACCAAGATCAATGACTTTTTTGACCCTACAAATGTTAAGGTCAACAAAGGTCAATGTCAAAATTGAAAATATGGAAATTCTAAAACACGTTCCTTTTTTTCCTTTTTTTTGAACAATACTGCAGAAACAACTGACCTTTTAACAGCAATTGGCTGAGGTAATTGTGTGCAAAGTCCCTTTTTGAACAAATGTAAGCTATGTGAGTTATGCCCCTGCCCCACATTTAAACAATTAGCAATTTAATCCGGATGCGCCACGCCCACCTCAACTTTTTGTCACATTATAATTCATATTCAAAATGTCTAGTTGTCTTCCAAATTTCAAGCTTCTACATCAAATAAGTCATAACATATACAGAAAATATACATACACTAAGACAAAAATATTGTAAAAAAACACTCAAATTTAAAAAAAATTACTTATTTCAATTTTGCTTTAAAAACCTTTCCTATATTTTGCTGGAAAGCGCATGAGAAACGCTTTAATAATTTGAAAAATTTAACCCTCTTAGGAAAATTAGGTCACGTGCTAGAGCAGTCCAAAGTTGCGAAGTTGGCTGTTTTGGGAGATCTATAAAACCGGAAATAGATATCGAATATGAAAGTATCAGCTGGACCTTAGACCCAATAAAGGTCAAGGTCATCAAAGGTGAAGGTCATCAGATATGAGCCTTTAAACCTCAAAAAAATTGAAATGGAAATTGCAAAAATTCCAAAAGTTAAATTAAAAA